CCTTGCCCCCCTCTCCACCCCCCCGCAACCCGTAGAGTGTACTAGTGCCCCCCCGATAAAACCCCTAATTTTACAATGAAACACGCATTTTGCAATCTTCAGGACTGATTTGAAGTTTTCAAAAAAAAAAAACATACATTATTGTGTAAATATTTGGGCAGCATTTCCCCATAAATATAAGCTTCCCCAGAGCCAAAATAACCTGTTGAATATGATAAATTATAAATGCATTGCAATGCCAATAATAAACATATTGCAATAATGTTGTGTATCTATTTTACAACAACCAAAACAACCAACATTTCATATACTAGGAGTCACTGGCCTCTTCAACTTGTACTCTCTCCAAATTCCGACCGCAAGTTCCAACCGGTAAGCTTCTACTTTTTCTTTAGCGAGGTCTTCTAACGGGATTCTGCGGACAAGGTATTCGATAAATTTGTATGTAAAAAGTCTGCAGTCACCTGATCTAAGGTTATGGACCAACCACTTGGGACGAACGATTGGCCACGCACAGTCAAGTTTATCACCTAGATGGTTGAATAAACCTGTGTACTTCAAGAACTTGGGCATCATGACATCGATTGGCTCCACTTGTCTTTGCATCTGTTGATCTCTGTACATCATAACAGCTGAGTCATACATCTTTATGTTGAATTCAGATAAATCAACATAAAGCGCAACCTAGTGCTTCCTCTCAATGTTAAAAGGCATAGTGAAGCCATGCGCGCCATCCCATTTCTGGCCAATTATGCGCTTATGTCCACAGACATATTCATCTAGGTCGTTGTCAAACGTATACGTTGCCAATTTCTTTTTATTGGTGTAGAATCGCGCTCTCAACTTTTGACAAAATATATCATCTAGGATGACAATATTGTTATTGAACTGCTCTTCAGGTGCCCTTGACCTTCTAATCGATAGAAGACCCCATGCCTCGTCAATTTGTTATAAGTCATAAAAAATTGATTCAGTATAATGATAATGGTATAAAAAATAAGACTATAAATTTAGTAAATATGTTGTGATTACTTACATCATTGAACATCCATTCACCTGGCTTCAAGATAATCTGAAAGAAGTCATTCCTCCAATCTCCAAAATCGCACTCAATCAGCTCAGAGTCCGTACTAGAATCAGCGAACCACTTGTTGAAGGCCTCGACAGCATCGTTAAAGGTCCACATCTTCTTCCTCACGTTACGCAGGGGATCTGTGTAAGGCGACTCAATATACTTGCTGGACCTCTTAAGTCACTTTTCATTCTTCGATTCAGACTCTGACTCTAAATAAACCTGTTGCTCAAGTTGATCCTCAGGCTCTGGCTGAACCTGAGGCTCAAGTTCTGCCTCAGGCTCAAGCTGAACCTGAGGCTCAAGTTCTGCCTCAGGCTCAAGCTGAATCTCTGGGTCAAGTTCTTCCTCAGGCACTGGCTTTGGCTGTAATTGTTGTTTCGCTAGACATGCTATATTGTCCTTAATTTCTCTAATAGACACGTCTAGCGAGTCTAGCCTCTTGTTGATGGCTTCAAAATGTCTACTATTGTACTCTACCATCCTGTGATAGAGTATGTCAACTATGTGATCAAAAGACATACCATCTTGCTTGCTCGGCTGTTGTTGTTGTTGTTGCTGCTCAGGTTGTTGTTGCTGCTGCTGTTGTTGTTGTTGTTGTTGCTGTTGCTGTTGCTGTTGTTGTTGTTGTTGGGGAAGTTGCTGTTGTTGTTGGGGAAGTAGTTGTCGACGAGCTAATTGTTTCGGAGGCTTCGGTTGCTGGATATGGACCATTCTTGCACCAGAGTCTAAAAATGATGCAAGATGGTCAATCTCAGGATCTTCTTGGTCGGCATAAGACATATACAACCTCATGCACATACTATTCATTTCCTCCTCAGTGGGATAAAGAATTGGTACGGCCATTCCCTGTATATTACAAGAACATACATTCAATGATTATTTAGGTGGAAACATATTGTAAAAAAAACAAATATGCCTATTTTGTAAAATTTACACCTATAAAAACATTGTATTTAAACCCTTACCTCGCCACTGTGCATGAGGTCGTCTATCTGTCTAACCTCGACCAATGAAACCCGGCGTGCCTCCCATTTGAGGATTCTGGGAAGACGTCCCTCAACCATCTTTGCAAACGTGGCACCGATGGTTGGAAATGTTTCGAATGCCCAAACCTGCGTTAAACCAATTTTTTTAAGTCTAGTAAACCAATTATGGTATTATTTACTACAAGGCGATGAAAAATTATGCATATAACTGTATGACATACCTGGAAGGCCCAAGGAAACCCGCATATTGAGTAGGTTTTCTTGATGCTCTTATTACGTCCTTTCCGAACCCATTTCTGGAATTTCTCTCTCAAGTTCTTCTTCAAAGCCTGCAGAGTGCATTCAAAAGACACCCTGCCCCATGGATAGCTGTTGAAGAATTCTAAATCGTCAACGTAAGCCAGCCAATCTAGTGGGACGGTATTCTTCTCGTCCCCAGATAATATACTCGTGCTAAAAAATAAATGATAGCGATCTTTGCTTTATCGCTACCTTTTATCTTATTCCCTGTGAGCAATTTTCTTAAATCAGCAACAAGTACTACGTGGGACTTAAAATGCTCCAATAATTTTCTATTCTTCGAAACTTTCAAGATCACGTCTGGCTCTGGAGTTTCCCTGCAGTTCAATTTAGTAATTAATGCAAATTTCCTCATTCCAAACTTAGTTGTGGTTCCATTAACCATGAACCACAACTTATGTCTCTTTTTTGTTTCTATCCGCCTCAAAAGTAGATACTGTGTCAACACTACAAAATAAATCATATTTTCAGACATCGAAATAAAATGTCCGAAGACAGACTCCTTGAAAATTGACATTTCTGTTTCGGGGTCTAGATTCTGCCTGATTACCTCCAAAGTCTCGATCTTTGACTTCATAGTCACTTTCACTGGGAAATACTGCCGCACAGGATCCATGATCATCTTTAGATATCCGATCCCAGGAAGTTCACCTGTGTTGTACTTTGGGAGGTCATACTGAAAAAGAAGAAAAAACACACCGGTCAGAACCGACCAAAACGACAGAACCGACTAGAATAGACCAATAAACCAACAAGAACCGAATGAACCGACCCAAAATCCCCGCAGAGCCGACCAAACAGACAGAACTGACCAAAACTGAACAGAACCGACCTAAACTGACTAAAACCGACCAAGAACCGACCACCAACTGACCAAGAACCGACCTCACCAAGAACCGACCAGAACCGACCCCTCTCGACAAGAACCGACTAAGAACCGACCACCAGAAACGACTTAAAACCGACCTAGAACCGACTGAGAACAGACCAGAACCAAAACCGACTAAGAACCGACTATGAACAGACCAATGTTGCTTATATTAAGTTTTTATTCTTGCAAAAATATATAAAAAAAGTAAAACAAGAATATTACCTCAGCAGATTCCATTGCCTCGTCGACAACTGTTCGGGAAATGGCCGTTTTAGTTGAGGAAGAAGAGCTGGTTTTTGATGCCATTTTAGTCGGATTTTGGTGAGCAGGTGGTCGGTTTTTGTGGTCGGTAATTTGGTGAGTGGTCGGTGTCGGTTTGTGGTCAGTTTTAGTGGGAAGGGAGTCGGTTTTTGATGAACGGTCGGTGTTTGGTGAGTGGTCGGTCGGCCGAGACGAGAGAGATTGGAGAGAGAGAGAGAGAAATAGGTGAGAGGAAAGCCGGCGGTCGGTTGTGAGGTTGGTGACTGATCGGAGAGAAAAGCCGGCAGTCGGTGAGAGGTGATCGGAGAGAAAAATCGGTGGTCGGTCGTGAGAGAGCTCAGTCGGGGGAGAGAGGGTCGAGCGGTCGGTTTCGGGGGGAAGAGAGGGTCGAGCGGCGGTCAATTTTGTGAGGAATGAGATTTTTGAAAATGACTTAGAACTAATAGGACCCATTTTTTATCACGTAAGATAAACATCATCATTTTTTTTATTATAAAAAATACTGGTCTATTTTCTCAAATTCTGATTTTCTCTGATCTCTTTTATCAAATTTTCTCGTTGTCGGTGCCGTTTGAAATAATGTTCCAACGGTAAAGAAGGGGTTTCATTTCTTAACCCTCACTTGAAACTCCCCAGTCGCCACTTTCAAAAAAAAAAAAAAAAAAAAACTCTCCAGCCGTCTCTCTTTTTCCATCTCTCTTCACCCCTCTCTCTCTCTTCCTTCACCGAGTTTCTCTCTCTCTCTCTCTCTCTCTCTCTCTCCCTATTGATCTCTTTTTCTCGTTCTGCGTCTGGAGATGTCGAGCTGTGACGGAGATGTTGAGCCGCCCTCGTTCTTCGTTGGAGATTTCTGCTCCTACCATCGCTGCGAATCGCCGTAGAAGAATAGAGGGAGAAGACTGGTTTTGTCGCGATTCCGGATGCGATTTCGCAATTTACCCGTTCTAGTTTTGTTGAGTTTTAATGCCGCGATTTAAATGATTTTGGGTACTTGGTTTTGTTGAGTTTTGATGCCTCGATTTGTGCTTCGATTTCTCGATTTTGCTTCTCTCATCTTTTTGAGTTTTGATGTAGCTTTCGCCGGAGATGTTCGGGTGTGGCAGGCTGCGAAAGCCTTTTCCTTTCTCTATCATCGCCGCTGCGAATCCAACGTTCAGAATCACCCACAACATCCCGGCATCCCGACGATCTATGCAATTCCGATGTTGCAACTTTCTCATTTATCGTACCTCAACCCCACTCCATGTGTTCGACCAAATGCCGCCATAGAACTCCTCTTATGTAGAATCTGAGTTTGTAATTTTGATCTAAGGTTTGTGAATTTGATCTGAGCTTGTGCTAAATTTTGTATATTTTTTGTTGATGTGGATGTGGGCTCTGAGATGAGGCCATTAAGGAATGGAAATTGCCCGGAGTAACCTCCTCTCCTCTTCTTTAGGGTTTTTTTTTTTTCGATAATTTCCCTCTTTTTTTATGTAGGTAAAATGAAATTAAAACGCCTCTCTTTCTTGGTTTTCTTTTCTATTAATTTTTCGACAGCCTTATATTCTTCTAAGTCAATCTCATTTCATCTTCTCGGTAACCATCACTTTTTTTTTTCCTAGGTCTCCAAAGATTCCGAGAGAACCAGTTTCAGTTGACCAGAGAACCCGTAGAAGCTCTACTACAAATACAATACCAAAAGGTAATCTCTTTTCTCTTTTTCTTTTTCCATTCTACCAAAACTCCCCAGATTATCTTTCATGTATCGGTGAAAACTGAAAATTTTCCCCAAAAGTTCTTTACTTTCTCAAGAGAAAGAGAAAGCAAGTGGATTTATTTGATGCCCTTGACTTCAAGAACATTCTACAATCTTCCAATAACAACGACAAGATTCTGCTGAATACCATCCCTCTTTTTTCCAGATTTTGTCGCTCGGTGTTTTGCTTACCTATTAGATTCTAGGTTTTTTTTTTTCGGGGTTCTAATTTCCTCTGTAGATGGCTGATTTTCTTTTTTCTATTTATTTACAGCATTTTTTTTATTCTTAGAACTTTTATCATAGGAGGATATTGCCGATAGAAAAAGCAGAGCCTAATCAGCTTTCTGCGGCCTCCTTTGATCTATTTGTTGCAGCGAAAGAGAGGAGATTTCTGATCCAAGAAGAGTTCTAAGGATAATGATGATGGTAAAGAGTGGAAATTGGAAGAGAAACATGAAATGTATGCAAGAGAAAATGCTTGCAGATCAGTTTCAGCTTCTGTATATCGAAGAATTGTGTAGGTACACTCTTCTCCTACAACTTGACTGGTCTAAGCCAGGTGACATTTTTCATATTTCATTTTCTCTATCTCTTAATATTTGATATTCTAAAAACTAAAATTATCATTTGATGAAATCTTGATTTTGATTTTGCATTTGTTTATTTTATCGAATCTTTGTTTGATATTCTAGAGGAATTATGATGTGTCTCTTCACATAACAAAATATCGGATCCACTCTCTGAACTGGCTAAAAGAATCACAGCTCCTGCAATGCCTTATGAAGAAGTTTCAAACCAAAAGCCACAATAGCCAACTACTTTGGCTTAGGTGCTTCTTCTTTCTTTATTTCTCATAATGTTCATTTAGAAAGTTGAAAACAATTCTTCGAATTTTATTTTGTTCTCAATTTAAGGTGATATACTAGGAGAGCGTCTTCACCATATGAAAAAAGATTGAAGTTGACCTATAATAAGCATGAGGTATATCTGTACAATTGTGCATCTTTTTTTTTTTTTTTTGGTTCTTTTGATATTCTTGTAGATTATTAATATTATTCATAGCTTGCAATGTTGCGTCACTCCATTTCCCAACTCAACAGCGTAGTTAGCCCTTATTACCAACATTACATTTTAAGATTGTCAATATCGTATTACTACTAAGTATTATTTATAGCACTAATTCTTAAGCAAGCACCATTTCATTATACAAAATTAGCTCAACTTCAACTTTTTTTTCCGAAAGCGGTTAACTTCAACTTTGAAGTTTATTATTATTTTTTATCTAGTTTACATTTTTTTTAACCCATCAACAAGCAGACACTATGGATTTCATAGCTAAGAATTAATCCAAGTCCTTAATACCCAGCTAAAATTAGGAAAAAAAAACACAAAACACTATTTCATCACATGAACAACCTAAAAATTTACACATGTAATTTTAAGGGGGGAAAAAAGGGAGTACCAACTAGGGTGAATAGTGGCCAAAAGCTAATTATCCTATGGCTCTAAAAAAGCTGAATATAAGTCCCGATAAGACTTTAGCATAAGATAACTTCTTACCTCGTACTTGATCTTTTAAGTCCTAAATTATTTCTAATAATTTTTATCTTGCATTTTATTATTTCTAACATATTATTATTTTTGTTCTTTCAGCAGAAAGAAATTTTCCCACTTTTAAGTTCACTTGTTGTGTTTAGGGTACGACGATGACATAACTCTTGAAATACCCACGTTTTTCCCCCAACAAACAATCTAAATACCATACTCATTTTAATTACTGTCACATCTTTGGGTTAAAAATACTGTATGCTTCAGTCAGCCTTTTCTTTTCAAGATTTTTATCTTCTATTTGTACTCAGTTACTTTGTACTTTATATCCTGTACGTCTCAACTCAAACTCTTAACTCTTTTTTTAATTTTTAATTTTTAACATTTCTTCTTTCTTTTACACACACACACACACACCAGCTTGCTTCTTCATTCTTTCCTCTATTTCTCAAACATTGCAGCTTGGTTTCTTTCTCCTGCTCCGAGCTTCTTTCTAAGGTATTACCTGAAGTTTTTTTTCGTCTAATGATGTTGCTCATGATCATCTGTAGACTTTATTTAAAGTAAAATTTCTAGCTTTGTTTCTATGTTGTAACTCAAAGAATAATACTTCCTCTTTTCTTCATACAGGAACTTTTTTTTGCAATCATAAAAGTTTCTTAAAAAAGAACTTTTGAAGTAAAATTTTATGATATATTTCTTCTAATTAATAGTCTTTTCCCCGCAGAGATAAAACCATGGATGAAAAATATAAACTAATATCAGAGATTGTTCCTGGCCAAAGAAATTGGACTGTCAAAGTGATAGCGGCTGAAAAGTCTATTCCAAGGACTGTATGTTTATGGACTCTTCTTAAACGAGCTAACATTGAGATGAAAAAACCTTTATTTTGGATAACAAAATACAAGTCTGCAAGCTAACATTGAGATGAACTTTTTTTTTTCAATCATAAAACTTTCTTCTTAAAAAAGAACTTTTGAAGTAAAATTTTATGATATCGTTCTTCTAATTAATGTTGTCATTTCCCCACAGAGATAAAACCATGGATGAAAAATATAAACTAATATCAGAGATTATTCCTGGCCAAAGAAATTGGACTTCTAAAGTGATAGCGGCTGAAAAGTCTATTCCAAGGACTGTATGTTTATGGACTCTTCTTAAACGAGCTAACATTGAGATGAAAAAATCTTTATTTTGGATAACAAAATACAAGTCTGCAAGTTAAACAAAATGAGTGGTATTTTGTTATCTTATTCTGTTATCTTAAGGTACAAAATATTATGTAAGGAATGTATAAAATATTATACGATGCTTTTTGTTAGGATCCTAGGAAGTTAGCTAATGCTTAGTTAACACTTAGTGTCCTGAATCCCACCTTACACACTTTTATTGATCGAAAAAGGAAAATTACAACCCTCGATCGACTGAACCGAAGGACTCAACGAAGAAGAAAGAAGAAGAAAATACAGGAATGCAGAAATTAGGATAGAGGCGGATTTTCGAGTAATCCCCCGACTCCCGTTAGCAACCCATGCACAGAAATTCCCGATCCGGTCCTCCTCGCTGGCTGCCCCTCATATTCCCTGGACTCTAACCGTTTAGTCCCTGTTCCCCAGGTGGGCTTGCCCCTTTCTCGTCCCTGTCTGCTTCTGTTAACTGTGGGCCCATTCCATTATGCTCTAGGCCCATCGTTTTACCTTTCTAGGCCCTCCTTACGTACACATTCCTCACCGGGGGCCTAACATCACTCCCCCTTCGAAGACAACCTTGTCCTCAAGGTTGAAGTCAGGAAACTGTGCCTGAAACACATCCAAAAGTTCCCATGTGGCTTCCCAATCCTGCAAGCCCTTCCACTGCACCAAGATTTCAGCCACCGGCTTCCCACCCAGAGGTGACCACCTACCCCGGACAACTTGCGAGGGCTCGACTTGTAGTTCCAGCTCGTCTGAAAGCTGAGGAGGGAATGGCTGACAAGACGAATTCGGACCCCTGAACGGCTTGAGCTTGGATACGTGAAAAACAGGATGGATCCTTGCGGTCTCTGGTAACGAGAGACGGTAGGCCACCTCCCCTATCCTTTCCAAGACCTCGAAGGGACCATAAAACCGAGGGGCGAGCTTCTCATTAGGCTTCCTCGCCAAGGACTTCAGGCGGTAAGGCCTAAGCTTGAGAAGGACTCGGTCTCCTGGAGCGAAGGAGAGTTCCCGGCGACGCATATCAGCAAACTTCTTCATACGCTGATGTGCTCCCACAAGATGCTCCTTTAGGACGTCCAAGAGCTCATTTCTCCGCTGCAGCTGCCGGTTGACGTCTTCCACGACTGACGGGGAGTCCTGAAACCGGTGAATGGTGGGGGGATCACGGCCATAGACCACCTGGAAAGGCGAATGCTTGGCAGACGCATTAAAATTTGTGTTGAACCAAAATTCAGCCCATGGCAAATATTGCGACCACAGATACACCTCCAGGCACTTGTTCACGACCTCTGTCTGCCCATCCGACTCGGGGTGATAAGCCGAACTTCTACTCAGTTTTGTGCCCTGCATCCGGAAGAGCTCACGCCAGAATAGGCTCATGAAAAGTGGATCCCGGTCTGTAATGATAGAGGCTGGAATGCCATGGAGCCGCACCACCTCCCGAAGGAACAGCTCCGCCACTTTCTTAGCTGTAAATGGGTCAGATAGGGGTAAGAAATGCGCATACTTGGACAACCTATCGATGACGACCAATATGGTATCCACCCCTTGCAACCGTGGGAGCCCGCACACAAAGTCCATGGAGATATCTTCCCGTATCCTCTCTGGAATTGGTAAAGGTTGCAGCAGACCTGCGGGTACCAGGGCATCTGCCTTAGAGCGCTGGCAGATAAGGCAATCGGCCACGTATTGGCGGATATCCCGTTTCATTCCCCGCCAGAATATGTTAGTGGATACTCGCTTATAGGTTCGTAGGAACCCGGAATGTCCTCCTAGAGCCGAATCATGAAACTCATGAAGCAACCGACCTATCCACGGCGACTGTGGAGGCAGCACTATCCTGCCCCGGTAGCATAATAGTCCCTGGCGCAAGGAATATCCTGGCGCTTCCCCCTGCCCTTGTTCCAATTTGCGGATCAGGCCGGCACAATCCCCATCCAATCGCTGGTCCTGCCGAATCTCGTCCCAGTCCAGGCGTTGAGGCACGGATAAGGCGGCCAGCCCCACTCCCACGTCTTCCTCGCGCCGGGATAAGGCATCCGCCACGCGATTCGCTGCCCCCTGCTTGTATTGCAGCTCGAAGTCATATCCGAAAAGCTTCATAGCCCATCGAAGGTGCTCCGGGGGTAAAAGGCGCTGGTCCATTAGGAACCGAAGGCTCTGCTGATCGGATTGGACCACAAAGCGTCGCCCCAGTAAATAATGGCGCCATCTCTGTATCGCCAAGACCACAGCCATAAGTTCGCGTTCATATACTGACCTCAATCGGTTTGTGCCCGACAGCGCCTTACTGAAATAGGCGGTGGGTTTGCCTTGTTGCATCAGCACCGCCCCTAGACCCGTACCTGAAGCGTCTGTTTCTACCACAAACGACTTGTCAAAGTCGGGCATTGCCAAAATGAGGAGTGTGGTCATTGCTCGTTGGAGTGCTCTGAAGGCTGCGGTGGCGTCCTCAGTCCACTTGAACTCTCCCCACTTGAGTAGGTTGGTCAACGGGCGTGCCAACTGCCCAAAATTTCGAACAAACCTCCAGTAATAACCCGCCAACCCGAGAAACCCCCGAACTCCGCGGACATTCCTAGGCGTGGGCCATGACAGAATAGCATCCACCTTGGCCGGATCAGCCGCTACCCTCGCTGCGGAAATCACATGACCTAAATATTCCAATCTTTGCTGCCCGAATGAGCACTTCTTACGGTTGGCAAACAACCGTTCTCTTGTTAAAACCTCTAGAACTGTAGTGAGATGCTCACAATGGTCTTCCCACGTACGACTGTAAATCAAAATATCGTCAAAAAAAACCAACACAAACCGACGCAAGTATGGCTGAAATACCTTGTTCATCCCACGTACGACTGTAAATCAAAATATCGTCAAAAAAAAACCAACACAAACCGACGCAAGTATGGCTGAAATACCTTGTTCATGAGGGCCTGGAATGTGGCCGGAGCGTTAGTTAGGCCAAAAGGCATAACTAGGAATTCATAGTGCCCTTCGTGTGTGCGAAAAGCGGTTTTCTCCACATCAAACTCCCTAACCCGGATTTGGTGGTACCCAGCCCTTAAGTCGAGCTTAGAAAACACGGCTGCCCCCTGTAGTTCATCCAGCAACTCATCGATAATGGGGATGGGAAATTTGTCTGGCACAGTGAGCCGGTTGAGAGCTCGGTAGTCGACGCAAAAGCGCCAACTCCCATTCTTTTTTCTAACTAGCAGGACCGGGCTTGAGAAGGCTACTACTTGGCCGGATAATCCCAGAGGCTAACATTTCAGTGACCAACCTCTCAATTTCCCCCTTATATACTTGGGGGTACCTATAAGGCCTAATATTGGGCGGTTCTGCCCCGGGTTTAAGGGTGATCTGGTGATCCCTTTCCTGCGAAGGAGGCAGCCCTTCGGGTGTCTTGAACACCTCGGGGAACATGGCCAAAATCCTCTGAACCGTCTCAGGCTCATTCTCCCCAACACTATCCTCCGCTCCTTCCTCTAGTGAATAAATTTCCAGCAAGGCCCCAACCGATTCTCTATGGAATTTACGAGTAAGGGTGCGGAGACTTACCGGTTCAAAGCTCAAAGTCGGATCTCCCTTCAGGCAGGCCCATCCTTCTCCCATTCTGAACTTCATCGTAAATTTCCGCCAGTCAGCCCTTACCTCACCCAGTGTCTGCAGCCAAGACAACCCCAGCACCACCTCCGCGCACCCTAATTCAAACGGGACAAAGTCTGCAGCAACTTTGTACCCCTGGATACTCAGCTCTACTCCCTTGCACACTCCTTGCTGGCGGAAACATGCCCCATTTCCCACCTATATGTTGTATCCACCGGTATCTGTCAAAGGGATCCACATCTCCCTCACAATTTTCTGTGACAAAAAATTATGGGATGCCCCGCTATCTACCAACACCACTACTTCTCGGCTGCCCAATGCTCCTACCAGCTTCATGGTGTTGGAGGATGTGACTCCCAATAGCGAGTTGAGCGAGATGCCCGCCATACCCTCCTCCTCTTCGGTAGTCTGCTCCTTTTCCTCCACTGATTCCTCAGCTACCATTTCTTCCTCCTCTGCTAACAACAACACTTGCAGTTGCCGGTTCTTACACCGGTGACCCGGCCCCGGAAACATAGCCCCTTAGCTCTCCTCCGTTGGATTTCGTCCTCCGTAAGGCGCCTGAACCCAGACCCACCTCCTTCCGACAATCCGGTGGCTTGCGGTGACCACCCTTTAGTTTTCTGGGGGAGGTTATGCTCCTTCCCGTGATTGGACTGAAGGGAGTTCCCTGGAAAACCTGTTGGGGGAAATGTGCGATCACTCACCCCCGAATCCCTACCCGTCCCATCCAGCCTCCATCCCCGGCCCAGTCTTCCCTTCTGGAGTCTCTCTACGGCATCTTTTCGCTCTTCAATTTGTTGGGCCAAATCCATCGCTTCTTGGATGTTGATGGGCCGATGGAGCTTGACCTCGGCCCTTATATCCTCACGAAGCCCATTAAGAAAAGCTCCTCTAAAAACAGGTTCAGGAATACCTCGGATGGACGCGGCCAAGGCTTCGAACCTGTCGCGGAACTCTGCCACCGAGCTGTCCTGCCTGAGCGCCATCAGCCGCTCCGTCGGGTCGCCGTCCTTTGCCCGACTGAATCGGTGGAGTATCGCGGCCTTCAAATCCCGCCAGCTGGTGAACGGAGCTTGCGAATCCAACCACTGAAACCAGCCGAGGGCCCGGCCCTCCATACAAACTGAAGCCGCCAGAACCTTCTCCTCCTCTTCGACGCCGTTGATGGCGAAATAGCGTTCCGCCCGAAAAACCCAGCCATACGGATCTTCTCCCTGGAAGATTGGTAGCTCCAGTCGTCTTCCCCGATGGTCTATCCTCCCGCGGCCCCTATCTGGTGACTCGGCCAGTCCCGGTCGGTCCTGATCCCTTCCCATCTCCCGTCGTAGGGGTCCCGGCGGATGGGTTTCCAATCGGCGACCGATCAGGGTCTCCAATCGGTGGAGCGCCCCTTGAACATCGCCAATCTGGGCCCCTAGAGCTAATACGTCCTCTTGTAGCTGCGGTACATGGTCCACGATCGCTCCCATCAGCTGCACGGTCTCCTTGATCGAGTCGATGCTTCCTTCCAAGCTGGAAACGCGGCCTGGGTTACTCACCGCCGGCGACAAATGAGCCATAGATCGAGGGCTCTGATACCAAATGTTAGGATCCTAGGAAGTTAGCTAATGCTTAGTTAACACTTAGTGTCCTGAATCCCACCTTACACACTTTTATTGATCGAAAAAGGAAAATTACAACCCTCGATTGACTGAACCGAAGGACTCAACGAAGAAGAAAGAAGAAGAAAATACAGAATGCAGAAACTAGGATAGAGGCGGATTTTCGAGTAATCCCCAGACTCCCGTTAGCAACCCATGCACAGAAATTCCCGATCCGGTCCTCCTCGCTGGCTGCCCCTCATATTCCCTGGACTCTAACCGTTTAGTCCCTCTGTTCCCCAGGTGGGCTTGCCCCTTTCTCGTCCCTGTCTGCTTCTGTTAACTGTGGGCCCATTCCATTATGCTCTAGGCCCATCGTTTTACCTTTCTGGGCCCTCCTTACGTACACATTCCTCACTAGGGGCCTAATACAATATTATATGATGTTTCTTTTTACATGTTTTACGCTATGAAAATTTAAATGACAACTTGATACGTGCAACGCATGTTCTGTTAACTAGTTATATATAGATTTGTGAATTTAACCGAACTTGTTCAGATTTGTGGTTAACCAATCACATAGTTGTCACTAGAAAAAAGCAAGAAGCTATTGAAATCTTTTTAGATACTCCATTGACGATGTATTCTGTTATCTTAAGGTACAAATATTATGTAAGGAATGTATAAAATATTATACGATGCTTTTTTTTTTTAATCTTACAATATTATATGATGTTTCTTTTTACATGTTTTATGCTATGAAAATTTAAATGACAACTTGATACGTGCAACGCATGTTCCGTTAACTAGTTATATATAGATTTGTGGATTTAACCGAACTTGTTCAGATTTGTGGTTAACCAATCACATAGTTGTCACTAGAAAAAAGCAAGAAGCTATTGAAATCTTTTTAGATACTCCATTGACGTTGAGGATTCTTGTGATTACACTAGAAATGTTGTTTTTAGGGAAATTTTGGCATTGGCAGCCTGAAAAATGTAGTTAACTATTACTTTCTTTTAGATACTAAGACTACTGCAAGACCAGTCAATATTATTAATCTTTTCTGTGCTCCACATTGATTTATTGCAATTTGCAGGTATGATCTTATTGGAGTCATATGGTGTTTCACAAAAAATATCAATATAAATAATCAATTTCCTTGAGTAAGGTATCTACATTATTTAATCTCTACCTTTTCCTCTCCATTACGTCTTCAAATTAAAATTTCTTATTTCTCTATAAAATTTTATTCGGCTCAGATAAATTTTACCTCAAATGGCTCTTTCTTTCATCAGCTTAATAGTGACTGAGTTTAGCTTTGTGATTAATGATGTTCTTATCTTCATTAGTTTTTCATATGAAATTTACAATCAAGTCCAGGGGCTTTGTATTGGTTTGCTTTGTCACTTTGCATGATCCTCTACGAATGAGCAATCCATGCTTAAAGAAAAAGAACTGAACCAGGCCAGAGAGAGCGTAACTAAACCTCCCCTTATAAAGAGGCTAGAGTAGAGCAACTTCACTACTTTAATGCCTTCTTATCTCTTCCTGCTTCTAGATTTATTTATTTTTTGCTAGACTTGTTAATTATTTCCTCATAGTGAGTGAAACAGACAAGGGTCAAGTGGTTAGAAGCCATATTATTCATGGTTATAGAACAAAAAGAAATAAATTTTGGTTGCGAAGGGAATGTGCTAGAAAAACTGTAATATCTTGGATACTGTAGTGCTTACTATAATAAGCATAAAAGGTTATTTTTTATAATTTATACATGCATCCAAAATGCCTATAAACCACTGCCTTTTAAGTGTCAATCATCTTCCTGTTTAGCTTGTTGATGTTGTTGCAGTTGAGCTTCTCATAATCTTTGCCTTGAGATTCAAAAAATTCCCCCAAGTAAGGGTGGCTGCTAGATGCTAAACAAGGTGTGTCAACTATCAAGACTTCCTTAATTTTTTATTCTTTTATTTTTATGTATAAACTCCTTATACACTCATATCTAAACCCAAAGTTTGTATTGGAGTATCTTATAATTCCGGTGGTGTGGTATTTGATGTTGTCATGGTCTATATTAAAAACTACTGAGAGTTGTCACAATATATGTAGAAGTCATAACACAATACAACACAATAGGTCTTATACAAAATAATAGAATTCAAGCTACCAAACATGGCCTTAGTAATACTTTTAGTAATAACCATTGCATACTGTAGATGTGCTTGAAGCTTTTTTTTTTTTTTTTTTTTTGTTATGTATCAACTGGTAGTTAGGATTAAGGCTTGTTGTTGTTGTAATGTATCAACTGGTACTTGAAACTTTATTAAATTACAGAAAGTGGGATAATATATGTTCATGCTCACTCTTGTATAATGCTATTCACGACAAATACCATACAATTAAGATTTATGATTTTCAGAAACCAAATGCTAATTTCTGTAATAATTTTCTGGCAGTATCAGATGTTTTTATACTTGTGTAAAATTAAACATATTTTTCTTGGTGATCTTAATTAAACATACGTTGAGTTCTGATAAGATGTTCTTATTGTGGTTTATAAGTTAATACATGTTCTTATTTGAATGATAGCTATTGATGTTCGTGCACGTGATATTAGGTTTGTAGAGGACAACTGGGAGAGCCCGGTAATATCTTGTCATTCATCTATGTTGATTTTTAGTACTTCAAATAAGATCCTAGTGAGATCGAATTTCAGCTTATTATTTATTATTATTTTGTAGTATTAAGTTTGATAAGTAACGTTTCCATACAAAGATGTTTTTTTCCTAAGGTTTCTATTTCTATTAGTCCATTATATCTATTCTAAGTCTATCATTCATCTTTGTTAACCTTTGTTTGCTTGCTTTTCTTTAAGTGTTTTATACACGTGAGTGTTTTTTTTTTTCCCCTTCATTGTGTTACTTCTTTTTTTCATTTTGATTTCTTCTCATTTTTATTAATAATAATAATTATTATTATTATTTACTTTGTAGAGTGAATTTGTATAGTTCATTCATTCGTTGGACAATAAAGAAAGGAAAAACATATTTCCAATATATATATATATATATATAAAATGGAGAATTGATAAATTGAATTTAAAGACGACGATAACAACAAATACGTCTTAATTCTAACTTAATTGAGACCGGCTATATGGATTTCACTTTCCCATACAGCTATGTTCGAAATTAAACTTTTTTGAAGGCCTAGATCTAGAATGTCATTCCTAACTACTTCGGTCAACATAATTCTTGGTCTATCCCTCCTTCTCCTAGTATTAGATATAAGAATGTCTGCTCAAGCACGAACTAGTGCTTCTAGCGGTCTACGTTGAACATGCTTATACCACCTCAAACGGTTTTCGCACACCTTATCTTCTATTGGTGCTATACCTACTTTACTATGAATAACTTCATTCCTTATGCGATCCATTATCGTATGACCACTCATCCATCTTAACATACGCATTTCTGCCACACTCATCTTACATATATGTTATCTCTTAATGGCTACCCTATAATATAGTTGGGCGGATTGCAGTCTTATAAAACTTTCCTCTCAACTTAATAGGTATCTTGCCATCACATATGTGACGCCCCTAAGTGGGGGTTATGTAATAAAAGTGCGGTAACGGTGCACAAATAGAAATAAAATAAAATAAAACTCCTGAAATAAAAACAATGTCTGCCCATGGGCTTTTAAAACAAACTCTCCGTTAAAACAAATAATTCATCGTTACGTTAAAACTTAGATCCACAGTATAGTGTAGCACCAATAAAATATTTAACAGTACGATCATCATCATCAGTTACAATTCTGTCAAAAGTAATACAATCAAGGTCTTACACAAATTTAAGGAAGGAAACTGAAAATAGTAGATCCTCTACGAGGGGCACGCTGATCGGTGACTACTCCTCGTCCGAAAGGTTGCACTGTACACCCCCTAGAAATGAAAGAGGACAAAGGGGGTGAGCACGGAATGCTCAGTAGGAGAACTATTACTCACTTTTAGTTTTATTTACCTTTCCCAAATTAAACCTGCATGGTTAGTAATTTCTACTTTTTATGCACAATAAATTATGAAACCTGTGTCAATGAGATAATCTAGTCCGTACACTCGGGACGATAAACCCCCGAAGGGCGCGGTGACTCAGATAGACTGATGGTAGGGAACTCTAACTCGATGTCCTTACCAGATCAGTTCTCGAACCACGGGTAAGGGTGAACTGTCGTTCCGGACCCTCACTAGGACGTAACCACTGTACAGTAACCTTGGGGATTCTCAACCCCGGAGAGCGTCATCACCTCTCCCTCTTTTACCTTTTCGGGTTCACACCCAGGGATGGTGAACGGCCACACCTACTGTTAGCACACTATCTCACTATCGTGTCCGGTTTACATTCTCCTAACTATGCTTTTGTGTCAATTTCTAAAATTATGTTAAAATCTCTTGGCCACGCTGTACATTACAGGACGGGCCCCTAATGGTTCTGTTTCAAGTCATATCGTGTAACAGTAATAAATAAGTTTGATATATAATTTAAATCTTCTCAAACTTAACAAAATAAAATAAATTAAATAAAACTCCACAAAAGTTAAGTAATAGGACCTCTACCTCAACACGGATCGTCAACCGAAAGTCGAAAAGCTGCGAAATGAAGCTTCGCCGGAATCCAGCCACCGGCGGCAGTACGGCGGCGGAGCTTCCCGGAGAAGAATCTCGCGGCGGACTTGAGTCCTACCCCCCCTAAATCGATGGTTCTAAATCCAATGGCGATGTCAATTTTACCAAATTCGGCCTCTAACTACTCGGATCGAGATCCTCAATTCCGGCCGAATTTCAAACCTTGAATCTTCGTTTTTCAGCCATGGATCTTCAAAATTGATTGGGGGCTTTTATTACCCGTGAGATTATGAGCATTTTGACACCAAGATCACGAGGATCCAACGGCTAGATCGCCGGAACCATCCTCCCACTTTTCTCGGCGACGGCTCGTTTTCTGACAAGGCGGCGGCGGTGACCACGGCTGGTGGCCCAGAACGACTCACCGACTCCCTCTGAAGCTAATGGGTTGGGCGGTGTCATTCACAGCGGCCGGAGGAGGGAGATTCATGGGCAACGGCGGGGGGGGCGGCGAGTGTGGCGGCGTCCGGCGGAGTTGGCGGCCGCAAGACACCAATCCGGACTCGGCTCGACGAGAGCTTTCCAACGAGCCGGGAGGGGTTGAAAACGGACGCCAGAATCTTCCCCGGATGTGTACTGCCGTACGCGTGGAAGGAGAGAAAAAGAAGAGAAAGAAAGTGGGTTTTTGTGTTTTGAATTTTTCTGATGAGGTGGAACACGCCCAAGTGGCATTAATACTAGTTTGGACTCACTGAGTGTCCAATTATCCGTTTTTGATCCCCACATTTCTTAAAAATTACATTTTGGCCCAGATTTTTAAACTTTTCACACTTAAGTCTTTAAAAATTACAAATTAACCCCATTTCAAATTTTGGGTTTTACAGCTCCTTCCCCTTTAGGAGATTTCGTCCTCGAAATTAAAATTACATCTGTACTCAGAATAGATAAGGATACTTTTCCTGCATTTCTAACTCAAGCTCCCATGTGGCTTCTTCATCTCCGTGATACTGCCATAGAACCTTGACCAAGGGGATCTCACGGCGACGTAGTATCTTAACCTCACGTTCCAAAATTTGGATAGGAAACTCCTCATAAGTCGTGTCCACTTGGATCGGAACATCTGTCCACGTTATTATCCGGGATGGATCTGGTTCGTATTTCCGTAGCATCGACACGTGGAAGACGTGAACATGGGACAGTTGAGGCTGTAATTTTTAAGAAATGTGGGGATCAGAAACGGATAATTGGACACTCAGTGAGTCTAAACTAGTATTAATGCCACTTGGGCGTCTTCCACCTCATCAGAAAAATTCAAAACACAAAAACTCACTTTCTTTCTCTTCTTTCTCTCCTTCCACGCGTACAGCAGTACACATCCGGGGAAGATTCCGTCGTCTGTTTTCGACACCTCCCGGCTCGTTGGAAAGCTCTCGTCGAGCCGAGTCTGAATTGCTGTCTTGCGGCCGCCAACTCCGCCGGACGCCGCCAC